TCATTGTGAAAAGGTTGCAGTGACGCTGTAGTACTGCTGTTGTTTAACATGCTGGAGGCCCACCCTCCAAGTTGCAAAGCAGCAGGTGATAGCAATTTTTCAAAACAAAAGCCATCACAGATTTTTAGGTGTTTTATTATACTGTTGTGTACAGAGTATAAAATATACTGCAATATTGGAATTAGGGACCTGCCTTCTTATGTACTTCAGTATCTTATTTTACAGTCTGTTGCTCGATGGACAAAAAAATAAAAATCTATGAATCAATAAATAATTTCCACTAAAAGTTTGGAAATATTATTTCAGTTAATTAGTTTTCCTCTTCAGTTTTACCACTTGGTGTTTTCCTCATTTGAAATCTTGATTAGTCACCTGCTATTGGTTGTGTATGCTAGACATAAGCAGCACAACTGATTATGTGGGTAGCACCCTCAAAGGTGTCCAGGAAGTCCAGCAGCAGTCTCCTGTTGTTTAGAGTTGCTTGGTGGATTGAATGATTGCACCTGCCCAGTGATACGGGGAAACAAACTCGTATTGGTTTCACATCACAGATTATAAATGTGACTATTCAGACATTCCAACAACATAAAGGGTCTATGGTGATAGAGGAGTTTTGTGGCCGCCCAGTAACCGGAGAGTTTCATGCTAGTACGTCATCGTGGCCTTTGGCAAGACACTTCACTCTGCTTACCTACTGATGGCGGTCAGACGGACCGGTGGCGGTCAGACGGACCGGTGGTGGTCAGACGGACCGGTGGCGGTCAGACGGACCGGTGTTGGTCAGACGGACCGGTGTTGGTCAGACGGACCGGTGGCGGTCAGACGGACCGGTGGTGGTCAGACGGACCGGTGGCGGTCAGACGGACCGGTGGCGGTCAGACGGACCGGTGGTGGTCAGACGGACCGGTGGCGGTCAGACGGACCGGTGGCGGTCAGACGGACCGGTGGCGGTCAGACGGACCGGTGGCGCCTGCGTACGGCAGCTTTGTTTCCATCTGGCAATATTGTAGCGCATTACCACCAGTGTGGGAATGTGTGTATGGGTGAATGTCTGATGTGTTGTAAAGCTCCTTGGGTAGTTGCAGAACTCTAGAAGATGCTATATAAATACAAGCCATTTACTATGTGTTTTACAATGTTTTAATTTAATAATACCAATGGGTACTATTAAACTGTAAATGTTAACTGAAACAACATTTCCAAACCTTTTTGCAACTCATTGAAGCTTGTTCTATTATGCATGTAGACCATCTGGTCAGGAGGAGGCAGTCAAATGCAAAAGGGACAGCTGTTTCCTCCTTAGTGCCCCCATTGGTGCCAAGTTTGTGTATATTTTTGATCACTTTTGAACATTTGTCTGACTTATGTCTTTGTGTAAAATTAAAGCACTGGAGATCTAAAGAGAGACCAAAGTAAATATTTAGACTCAATAATTATTAGGGTTGTGTTGGTAAGAAACTGACGATATGATATGTAGACAATTCCATATAATCAACACTAAAAGCCAGATGATATTGGCAGTTTTATGACTCAATTTAGTGGGAAAACTTAGGTGAGACACTTCCAAAATGCATTCAGTGTTGAGATCTTGCAGTTCCGTCAAAATGCAGGCAGTAAAAACTGCTGCCAACTAGCAGTCGTAGACACCACAATAAAGAAATGTAGTAAATGTTTACATGTAAATTCTCAAAAAAAGAAATAACAAACTTGCTTTTGAAAAATGATTTAGTATCCTAACATGAAATATCACAATTATTCAGCGTATTAGTTTGATGGATAAAACCACCAGAACATGTTATAACCATGATGCTAAGTTGGGCAGCAGACTCCTCTGGACATTTCTGGAGCTCTTTACTATAAAAAAAAAAAAAGAATTTTGCATTGGATGTTATCACACAGATCTATGTTAACTATGTTAACGCTCCAGGGTCCCCCAACGCCTACCTGCATGCACACAATAAAAACTGATTCATTACAAACTTTAAACAGACATACATAGTCCTGAAAGTACTATTGGTTGTCTTATTTGGATTTTATAAACGTAATATTTGCTAATATAATATTGATAACTTCACAACCTCAGCACAGAGTAAATTGTGGGGACCCCCTAGGAGGGTTACGCACCACAGGTTGGGAAACATTTTTTGGGGGGGATATTTGAATCAGTCTCAACTTTGTGTATTTAACAGCATTCAGAACGTTCAAGAGCCAGAAAAGTCTAAGGAAAATGTCCTGGAAGTCCGATTTATTTTCCTGTAACCTTAGCAAGCTTTCTCAGTTCTGTGGGGATTTTAAACACAGTCTCATATTTGGTAAAACTTCTGCATGTTAACCAGATGTTTTGAAGCTCTTTTTTAATTCAATTCAATTCAAGTTTATTTATAAAGCGCCAAATCACGACAAGAGTCGTCTCAAGGCACTTCACATAATAAACATTCCAATTCAGGTCAGTTCATTAAGCCAATCAGAAATAATGTGTCCTATATAAGGAACCCAGCAAATTTCATCAAGTCACTGACTAGTGTCAGAGACTATACAGCAGTCCTCATACCAAGCAAGCATGCAGCGACAGTGGAGAGGAAAACTCCCTTTTAACAGGAAGAAACCTCCAGAGAATCCTGGCTCAGTATAAGCAGCCATCCTCCACGACTCACTGGGGATCGAGAAGACAGAGCAGGCACACACACACACACACACACACACACACACACACACACACACACACACACACACACACACACACACAAACACACACACACACAAGTAATGTGTCCATGGTTACACCGTGATTTCTTAGTCAATATTCTATTTGGTGAAACATAAACTTTATTGTATTTATCCTAGTGGATCTATAATTAAACAGATAAACTAGTAGTAGCACATCCAACGTCAAGGAAAGCAAAAAGCCATCATCAGGAGAGGGAGAATGTATTAGTGGTTAGCAGCAGTGTGCTAGACGATGGCCCCCTCCATGAGGCCACCACAGCTCAGCAGAACGTCGTTGTAGCTTCTTCTGGGGAGAAAAAACACTTAGAGAGAAAATAAAGTTAACAGCTGAAATTGCACAAAATAGTACAGTTAAAGAGCAGATAGTAGAAGAAGGTAGTAGAGTGTGAAAAGTGGTCAGTGTGTCCTCCAGCAGTCTAAGCCTATAGCAGCATAACTACAGAGTTAACTCTGGATAATCTATCCTATTTAGATGGAGGCATGTTGGAGTCAGGGCAAGGGAGAGCCGTCTTTACCGACTGTACACTCCACCTCCCTCTACTCCCCCACTTGTCCAGATTTAGGCTAACATCAGATTTTAACCACAGGCCCTATCAAATAAAAATGTTTTAAGCCTAGTCTTTAAAGTAGACAAAGTGTCTGCCTCACGGACTAAAGCTGGGAGCTGGTTCCACAGGAGAGGAGCCTGATAACTAAAAGAGCTGCCTCCCATCCTAATTTTAGATATTCTGGGAACCACCAGTAGACCTGCAGTCTGAGAGCGAAGTGCTCAGTTAGGAACGTATGGAACGATCAGATCACTGATGTATGATGGAGCTTGATTATTAAGAGTTTTATATGTGAGAAGAATAATCTTAAAATCTATTCTGAATTTAACAGGTAGCCAATGTAGGGAAGCTAAGACAGGAGAGATATGATCTCTCTTTTTAATTCTCATCAGAACTCTAGCTGCAGCATTTGTTTCTTGGTTAGTAATAAATCTGATGAGTCTTTGAAAAGCCCCCAAACAGAAGAACAGATTATAACCCTTTCTTATATTGAAAAGGTGGGAGCTGGTGTAAAGCTGTATTGGGTTGATCAAACACAGCGTTCCATATCTTAGATGATGTCATGGTTATGTAAGTGGTATCATTCTGGTTTTAGTAAACCCTTTCATGATCTTTTTGTGAGTGTAGAATCTGGAATGAAAGTGTGGAGGAAACACAGGTCCAGTCAACATCCGCTGCAGAGGGCCAGCGTTTAGTACAACTGACTCATTCTTTTGAAGTAAACAATCCAAATATTAAAAATGCTCTAAATATGTTTTACAAGGAAAGAAGTTTAAATCCAAATAGCTAAGTAGTTTTAGTCATAAAAATAGGGTATCTTTAGGTTTTCCTCTGTGACGTAGGAAAATGTTCATGTTATCAATATTGTGAACTATTAGTTTTATTATAACTGTAAGCATTTCTCATATTCCAGATGAATTATTAAAATTAAAAAAATCCCAAATGTCTTTCATTTATTTGGGTTTTTTAATTTTGAGGTAATTTTCTTACATCCTGCGTAAGGCTTTTCCAATAAAATCTTTATTGATTTTGATTTGAGTGACAGCCCTCAACAGCCTTCCATGAAATCTTATCTTTGCATTTCTTCTGTGAAATCCACAGAGAGCAGCAGCGCCGCTTTCATTTGCAGCCCAACTGTCTTAGCTTTTGACGTGAGATCTCAAGATCGGGGCCCGTTTCATTTATGAGTGATCTTAAAGAAGCGTTGTGTCATCATCAGTGTTAGTTTGTTTTATCACCTCTTTCTCTTCTTAAGTGTGTCTTTGCCCACATTAGCAGCACCAGTGAAACACCAGCTGCTGCAACCATAAAGGCACTTTGAGGGTTTAATTAGAAAAAGAACAAAAGAACCAGCAGCAAATAGGGGATCTCTTCTAAATGAGGGTTCAGCAAGTGCAGAGAGAGACTGAGCGATTGGAAACCAGATGTCTCTTTCACAGACGAGTTGCATCAGTGAATGTGGCTCTCAGCCCAACGTTCCCCGGCTCTCTTTGGCTTCAGTGACACACCGTGGAATGAGTGCGTCATGAGTGGGCTTTATTTACAGCATCCCTCCGCAGCTCTGATACAACACAATGAAAGCTTCGACTGAAGAGGAGACTCTGAGCAGGAGCCATCGTGTTGTGTTAGAGCAGCTACGCCTGTTTGAAATGTCACCAACGCTGATGTTAGGAAGCAGTTTGTGTTCAAAGAGCATCCGTGTGAGTCAAATTCTTCTCACTGCAGGTTAAATACAGAGCCCAGAGGAACATCACTCGCCAGGCCGTGCTGAAGATGGTGGCGGTGTGGGTGTTGGCCTTCCTCCTCTACGGTCCTGCCATCATCTTCTGGGAGGCGATAGTGGGTCAGAGCATTGTCCCGGCCCACGAATGCTACGCAGAGTTTTACTTCACCTGGTACTTCCTGCTCAGCGCTTCTACCTTTGAGTTCTTCACCCCATTTGTGTCGGTAGCCTTCTTCAACCTCAGCATCTACCTTAACATCCATCAGAGGAACAAGAACGGCAACGCTTCTGCGGAGGAGGATGTCGCGCCTCGGCGGAAATCCAAGAAGCACAAAGACGGAGTGGGCTGGTCTGTGTTTTTTGTCAAAACTCGGAAGGTGACATCCAGCGAGCCTGCTGCTATCTCTGCGGTTATCGAGGATGACGACATCCTGTCGCCGTCTTCCAGCGAGTGTCCTGACACCAGTCAGATCTTTGTACAGAGGGAGAAATTCTCTCCACATAGAAAAAACTCCAGGCTGTTTCAGCCCACAGCCTCGTGCATGGCTCCCGGCCGGAGAACGCCGGGATCGCGTCTTTCCCGAGACAAAAAGATTGCAAAGTCTTTGGCTATCATAGTCTGTATATTTGGAATATGCTGGGCTCCGTACACTCTGCTGATGATTATCCGTGCTGCCTGTGGCGGTGAATGTGTGGCCAACTATTGGTACGAGATTACCTTTTGGCTCCTGTGGCTGAACTCGGCCATCAACCCGTTCTTGTACCCTCTGTGCCACAGCAGCTTCCGGAGGGCTTTCTCAAAGATCCTGTGTCCCAAACGACAGTCGGTGCAGCCTCAAATGGAGGCTCAGTCCTGTTAGGACAAACTCTCCTGTGCAGCCATAAGTTATGAATGCTGTAAACGTTGATAGTCATGCTCTGTAAAAAACTAAATCCATATGATGTTCTTCCATGATTAAAAAAAAGACGTTTGTATGTAAGTGAGAAGTGTCGGAACAGCAATACAACGGAGCAGAACGAAGCCGGAGATGCTGATAATGATAGAGTCGGTACGCTGACTCCCACTGCATCAGTGTTAGCAGATATAATTGCTCTTGATTAAAGCGCCCCAGAGAGCCACTGTCCAATTTTTCAAACGCTGTAAATGTTGGTTTCAAAATGTATGTAAACCTTCACTGTAAGTAGCACAATGACGGGACTAAGGCTTTCAGATGTTAATGTGCTCATGCTGTGAGGTGATGACTTCTGTAGCCAAATTGTCATTGATTACCATCATTTAGTTCAAGGTGTTGCATTAGGCGTGCCGTACAATGCATGAAGACGCTGCATCATTGTCTGTCTGAATGGAAGCAAAGAAAAAGGAACGTCCCCTGCCTGCAACTAACATCTACTTTCACTCTTTTAAAAGCAGCGAAAAACCTTTGAAGTCCCATTTGTATGACGCTGATAAAGAGCAAGGACCTAATGGTCCTTTAATGTTTTCACAACCCCTGGCACACGAAATCCTGTTGCTTTACCTTTTTAAAAATGAAGCTGTTAATTTGTAAAGGACCTTTAGCGTTTGTCTTCAAAAAGCCGATCCAAGCTTTTCATCATCACGCAGCAATAGAATCACTAATACCGAGTCCTCAAACTTCAAAGCACAAGAAAGGAGCAAGGGACTACTGGCTGTCATTTTGTTTTTCACAGTCGAATCTTGTGGTCTTGCTCCGTCTGCACAGAATGTATCTCTGAGGTTGATGTTAGTGTGCCTATGAAATGAAAACAAGAGTAAAGCTTCATGCCAAACATTAGAGTTCAGTTGGCGGAGGGGATTGTGTTCATCTTGTGAAGTATTTCATCAAAAATGTTGCCCCTTTTTTTACCTAAATATTAAAACCCATAGGCCTAACGCTAGTCTGCAGAAACGTGTTCTATTTAGGGATTGGATCATAGGAGGTTTACATTTCTGAGAAAACAAGCTGTTACACATCAAATTACATAAAGTTTTAGAATATAATTAGATTTTCTATAAGGCTTAAAAATTAAACCTGGTTTTCTCTTTTTTAAATAATATTGTCACCTGATTGTGTTTAGTTATTTCTATTCTAGTTGGTGTAGACGATCATTAGACATCTTCCTCTTGCATTGGACTTTTTTTCCTAATACATTAACCCTTTGATGCATAACGGTCACTACAGTGGACAGGTACTCTAAAGTGTTATTTATTTATTTTTGCTATTAAGCACAGCTGTTGAAGACTTTATTGCATTTGAGCCCCTCCGTTTGGACTTCAGTAAGTCCAGCCGACATATTTCATGCTCAGAATACACGCTGTCCACTGAGGTGGACATGTAATAAACTATGTGTAAATTAATAAACGTTACAAAAAACATTTGTTGAAATTTGTTTCATTCACACCTAAAGACGAATGAAAAAAAATTGTTAACAAAACCATGGTTGGAGATTTCATAATTCATGCATCAAAGGGTTAATAACATGCAACCAGGTGGTACAAAAGTCTGTTTATTGGGAGAAATGATCTGATTTTTTTAAAGAAACCTTTTTATTAGACTTGATCTGGACTGTTCAGAAGGTAAACTGCCTTCAGACTGTAGATGATACAAGCCATCCTCTGTCTATTTGCAGGGAGGATAAACAAGTTCAATTAAAAAGACTTTAATTTGATCTGCCTGTAATCAAAACATTTCAATTAATTCTGAATAAAAATGACTGACTTCATTTTGTTGAGTGAGTGAGTTATGGTAAAAACTGCCAAATCTAATCAAATACGTGATCTGAAACAACTTAAAATTAGAAAAACTTAATTGCCTAATTTCCTCTTAATTCAAAATCCGTTTTAATGGTAGCGGTCTACTTTGAATGAAGAACAGTTCTGAGTTTGTACATATTTCTGATGACTCCAGGAACAGATGTTGCTCTTTTACAAAGCTGTGAAAAAATATTAGCCTCCTTACAATTGTTTCTGTTTTTGTCACACTCAAAGGTTTTGTGTCAGCAAACATGATTAGGAGAAAGTAAATAGAAATACAGTGTTTACGGTGTAACCTGCTCTACCTCCTGACAAAAAATGTGTGTGTGACAAACAGGAAAAGCAGAAGAAATGTGTTCTGAGGCAAATGCTGTTTTTTTCCACTGCAGCGTGTTTGATTAACACAAAGATAGCCTAAGCAGGGACTTTCCTCTCCTCAGCCACTTGGGCCAGCTCCTCCAGGGGAATCCTAAAGAGTTCCCTGTCCAGCCAATAGACCTTGTCCCACCAGCGTGTCCTGGGTCTCCCTTTAGATCTTCTCTCGGTTGAACGTGCCAAGGAAACCTTACCAGGGATGCGTCAAATAGGCATCCTGACTAGATGGCTGAGCCACCTCTATTGGCTCCTCTAGATGTGGAGGAGCAGCAGATCTACTCCAAGCCCCTCTCTAAGGGAGAGCCCAGACACCCTGCAAAGAAAACTCATTTTGGCCGCTTGTATCAACAATCTCGTTCTTTCTGTCACTACCCAAAGCTCGTGATCATAGGTGAGGGTAGGAACCTAGATCGACTGGTAAACTGAGAGCTTTGCCTCCTGGCTCAGCTTTTATTTATTAATTTATTTATTTATTTATACAAAGGAGGGGATCAGCTCATCACCATCTCTGAATAAAAGACTTCACACTGAAACGAATATGGAAAATAATACTTAAAGTGTACAGCAACAATGAAAAATCTACTTTTGTAAAGAATTTTTGCTCCATTAACACTTTCAGCCAAATGGTAAAAGTGTTCTGCTAGAAAACTACTTTGGAACAAACACACAAACGTTGTAATCTTTGCTACTGGCTAGCCCAACTCACTATGACTCTTTTCCGTGCTTGTTAAACCGTCACGTGAAGCTTTTCCAATAACGGATGCAGAACGTTTGACTTGCGCTAATTTGACCTTTGTTTAAAACAGCCTTAATCTAGTTGGTGCTTCTCAAAACAAGTGTGAGTGTAATGATGAGTCCATTACTTAATCTGTGGTGAAATGGTTATTATGGACTGAATAATTGCCTGCACAAAAAAATGACTGAATAAAACTTTACAATTCGTTAAACATGAAAGCTAGTCAGCTACTTATGAACCCGCATAATGCATCATCAAATGTCTATACTGAACATCTATGTATGTCGTTCAGCTCTGATTTTCAAAGGCATCATTTCTGTCGGATGGGGGATAGGAAATGAAGTCAAGAAGTAGTTTGGTTCCTTAAAACAGGAAACTGATCATAGTGTGAACGATAAAAAGAAAAAAAATCTTATTTTAGGAGACAATAATGATTTTTCATTACTTGACAACTAAATTGAACCAAACACATCTTTAGTTACAGATTCTCACAGTTTCACTTCTGCTCCACAAACGTTTTTGGTTATTTCAGAGAAAAATGTTTTTGTTTTTACGGCACACCACCTGTATTTAATAATGGATTTCATAACTGAGCGAGCTTGAGTGATTATGTGCTTAATAAGAGCTGAGAGAAATAAACTGGAACAGATTTGTGAGTTGAGTCCATGAAAGCAGTCATACATGCACCATTAGGAGAATCACATGACCATTTTTCCATCACGAGTTCAGTTTGTTGTAATTTTTCTGAATTCTGTAAAAAACAAAACAAACAGCAGCTGAGTGAGAAGAGGGTTGCTGTGCTGTTTTCTTCATAAGATCTGGAAAAAAAAACCCTGAAAAAAATAATAAAGGAATGTCATTTAATTTAAAAAAGCCTCAAGAAGAGCCCATCAGAGGTTTTATTTGCCTTTTAAAGATTGCTGTGAAATATATTCATCATCTAACATTATGACAGAAGTGTGTCAGGTGTGGCAGAGTTCTGGTGGTTTAACCTTTGTTTCTTATTTCTGGCTCAGAAAACCCAACAGAATCCTTTGGAAATTATTCTCGGGAATAAAAGACAGCCAGGAAACCTCTGTGTCGTTTCCGCTGTGGGAATTAGGTGGGATAGTTCGCTGGAGAGAAAAAGAAAAACGCCAAGGGACTGTTGGATCGTGGGATGGATGGATATGATTCACGGTGATGAGAGAAAAATGCTGCAGGTTTTGGCTTCCATCACAGCTTGTTCTTAACAAAATCAACATAATGAATGAAAAATGTCGGTGCAGAAACAGCAGGCAGAGCTGGCTCGGTTTCAGAGGAACATATTTTAAATCTGGAGACAAAAATCTTGTTTTAATCTCCAGATTTACGTGTTTTTAATTCCTCTTGTGAACACCCCAGTGTTCTAGCCGTGTTCTTTTGACAGGAACTATTCAGGATAAATAAATAGTGCTGGTGTTATTCTACCGCTGACCCCTGTAAATAATAGTAATTTAAACGTAGCACTCGCTGTGCTTGTGCAAAACCTGTGTGCAAAGGGAAAATGTGTTTTTAAGTACCCAGCCCAGAAGCAAAGGCACAGGAGACATGACCACTTCCTCACAGATTCACCCGCTTGCAATGAGGAGGGGGACTGGCGAGTAACTCTGGCAATAAACAGAATGACAAAGTCAATTTAGAGGCATTTCATCAAAGGTCAGTGGAGAATGATAAGAGTAGACGGTGGTGTGGGTGGCCTGAGCTGAGACGCAGGTGGACTTGCAAATAGAACACAAATTGCTCAGCAAAGTGTTGACATTGTTTGTGAGCGCAGCAGAAGACCCAGGAAGCCATGTTCACCACCTCCCAGTACAACGTCACAAAATGGCCTGATTCTGAGATCCCACAGGTCAAATGCACAGCCAGATCAACTTACCCTGGCTATGACACATCCTACAATCTTTTCCCCTCACAGGAGACTCGAAGTCTGCATGTAGTCCCTTTAATCAGAGCCTTCTTCCTCGCACCAGCTGGACTGCAGAGATAATAAATGATAAACAATAAACATTTTCTCCTCCAAGGTCCATCACAGAGGAACCCTTTTAAATAAACTCCGTTATTCCAAGAAGAAGAAAGAAGATTTTATAATTAAAGATAATCATTAAATATTGCCATTTATAATTATAAATAATGAAATGTTCATTAATCTGTGCTCAGTGATTGTTTTAGTATGTTTACTTGACGAGGTCATAACATTTGCACTCACAAGTAAAGTTAAGTTAAAAACGCATGACACATAAGTTGACCTTTTGCCTAGATTCGGAGTCTCCATCACGGAGGGTGTGTCTCTGCAAGGCTTGATAATATCTTCAAACTTGTCAACATGTAGTTGGTTAGTCAATCCTAACATCAGCCCATTAAAACTAGCCAGCTCTGGTTTTCCCTCAGTTCGAACATCTCAACAGCTCGAGAGTTCTAGAGCGAGCTTCAGACCGGCCATCTTTAGCACCTTTTTAACTAGAAGGATTTTGACACGTCATCAAAACCTTTAACCTTTCTCGTACCTGCGAAGCTGAAACAACAAGATAGTTTTCCTGCAGAACAAAGCTGACTCCAAACTCCTTCAGAGTTCATTTTAAGACGCTCGGTTTCATCCATCTGTCGTGACCCGAGAGACATCTCCGGACTGAAAGAACCTGCACCTCGGTCCTCTACAGCCCTCCGGTGCCAGCGGTCAGCCGACCTCTCACTTTCGGATCCACCAAGAGGGTCTCTTAGTCCGGGTAAAGTAGACACACAGATAGCGTCTGAATGTGGTTCTGATAATAACATCTTTATAGTTTATTTGCAAACCAAATTCTTTCCATCCAGAACTCAGCTCTGAGAACGGAGATTCTGGATACAATATTCACACATACAGTAAGTTCCAGACACCATCTTAGTTCGCATTCACTCACAGTAAATAAGAGTTTAAAACATTTGTCAAGTCTTAAGTGTTTGTAAAATAAATTCTTACTTTGTTTATAAGCCTGACTGTTTCTTGGATCAAAGCGAAGTGTGTTCGATCCCTTAATGAATAAAAGAATCTTAGAATCTTCTGACTAAGACCAGCGAGGTGATATTCTGTTTTTATAGAGTATCACAGCTATTGGTCACAAGTAGTGGCAATAATATAAATAGCTTTTCAAGCAATTTACTTAACCCAATTTACCCTCCATTATCATTACACCAGGGAGGACATTAGACGCAGCTCTTATCGTTCTGCTTGACGTTGGGATTTTAATTTGGACAGGACATAATTGTTGGTTAAAATCTAAAATCTAATGAATGTAGAAGAGCGACCCGCAGCGGATCAGGCTGTGGGTGAAGGAAAGCTGCTCACAAAACCATCCACGGTTTTTATGTGACAAGCTGAAGTGCTGTGAAGAAGTAGTCGGTCAGTGACAGAAAAACCCACAATGAAGTGACTTCAATCTGACAAAAGTAATGATAAATAACAATTCTATGAAATTAACCAGTGAAAGTCAGACATTGCTTTTTAACTACACTTCAATGAAATTATAAGAGTAAAATTAACTCATGGACCAGGCCTGGACGAAGATGATGGAACATGGAGGAGGCTCTGCTGTGTTCTGGGGCTGCTTTGCTGCTTCTGGCACACGGTGTCTTGAGTCTGTGCAGGGCACGATGAAATCTCACAACCTTCAAGGGATTCTAGATAGAAATGTGCTGGCTAGTGTCAGAAAGCTTGGTCTCTGTCGCAGGTCATGGGTCTTCCAACAGGACAATGACCCAAAACACACGGCTAAAACACCCAAGAATGACTATTCTAAAGTGGTCTTCTATGAGATCTGACCTCAGTCCTATTGAGCATCTCTGGAAGGGGCTGAAACGTGT